ATCAAATTTTTACTTTTTAATGGTTGGGTCAGCAAAATTTTTGCCACGAAAAACATTTCTCTTCGGTGCCACTCCCCTCCATAAATCATTTGACCAGTCCCTAATCTGAGGTAGAACGGCTGTCGCTATCACTCGCCATCTACAACGGCTCGATTGATTTCCCGTTCATTGGCATCAGTGTTGTCAAAAACTATGCTTGTTTAAGTTCTCTAATATTCTTAGTATTTCTGGACTGGGGGCCAATTAGAAACTAGAAAGGGGCTAGATAGAGGCTAAATAGAGAAACACAGTTGGTAATATCAGCTGCTAAGCTAGTGCCCTTAAGCCCCTTGAAACTTGCTTTCGACTTCAGCTACAGTACGGCCATTTCAGACGGGTGAATTTTGTAACGCAATTTCGCACGAACAGCCATGTTATTTAAAAGGCAGTTAAAGAGGAGCATGGCCCTGGTCATTCTCGTACCCAGAGCCCTTCGTAAGCGCGGTGCGACGAGGGGCTCTGGCCAAATCCATATTCCGAACTGGCATCTGATTGGCTAGTTCTAACACCAGACATTGTTTTCTTACCATGTTTTTATGGTATGATGGTATCCGGTTATGGATTTGGCCAGAGCCCCTCGTCGTACCGCGCGTAAGAAGGGCTCTGGGTACGAGAATGGGCCCTGGCTCGTACCCAGTCCCTGAATGAAGATTGACAAAAATAACGGTGCATATTGGTAATGATCTAGCCTGAATTTTTCCTTATCATTGCCACTCCTCAGTCCGCTGGTCTATATATGTACTAATAATGTATAATTGGGTACGAGTCAGCTGGCATGGCCCGTATTCTATTCTGTCATCTTACACATCTTGCATGGGATGAAGAGTAAAAAAAACGTTGAAAAATGTCGAACGAAACTGTTGTCCATGCCCTCAACTTCTCTACTACTTTTTTTGTAGTTGTACTACTTTTTAATTGCGCTGCGTGTTCCAACTTTCGCTGCTTTTTTGCACGTTTTTACTGTCAAGTAATATATTTTATGAAGTATAAAACAAAAACCGAAAACCTTTTGAAACTCAAGATATGGACCTAAATGAGACAAAATTAGGCAAATTACTATGCCGCGCGATCGTCGGTAAGCGAGCTAACACAACATTACAATGTCAATAGAAACATGTTTGCAACTTTTTAACATTAAATAAAATTGCAAAGGCACTTATAAAAACAACACAATTTGTATATTACTTCACAATGTCAATATAAATATGTTTGCAACTTTTTAACATTAAATAAAATTGCAAAGGCACTTTATAAAAACAACACAATTTGTACACGATAGTTTGTACATGCACGGGACTGTTACTAAATAGTATACTGTAATACTGTATGTACACTGTTGCAACTTGCCATCATATTACCTACCTACAAATTTTTGAAGTTTGCCCTTACTCTACTTGTATTTATATTAAAATTCGCGCTTATCAGAAGTGCGCGAAACTACAACTGAGCGAAAAATAATCCAAAATAACTGATACACTCTAGTTTCGAGAACAAAGAAATTATTATATATGACATCATGCACACTGTGCATTTTTCATTCGATTTGTTGCCGAGATTTTACGAGTTCAACAAGCAAGCAATCGGTTAAAGCCCGTTTTCCACTAGGCGAATTTGTTCGCGCGAAGCGAAATACACATTTCGTCAATGAAATTCGTCAATGATCTGATTAGTTAGTGATATATTTTTCATTGACAATGAAAAATTTTATCACTAGCCAATCAAGATTGTCGAAATTTGTTTTTGCTTTTCCGTGAGTGAACAAATTCTCCTGGTGCAGGGTTCGTAGTCTCCAAGATAAAAAAAAATTAAGACTTTCAAAGATTTTTTCTGCCTATTTTGAAAGACTTTTCAAAGACCTTTGAGAGCAATCAGTTGTCGAAAAATTGCGAGTGTAAACACCATTTTTACCCGGTAATAGCCTGCGTAGCAGGCGGTATTCGCGGGCACGAGAGAATGGGAAGCTTGAAATACCGCCTGCTCAAAAACTACACATTCTGAGTTCTCCCTGGCAGCTGGGTGCCGGAGCATTCTGATTGGTCAGAATGTTGATTTTCAATTTTTGATTGACAGGAGTAAAGAATTAGAGTAATTAGTGCTAATTTTAGAAGTTACTGTTGCCGTATTTATAATATAAACTATTGTCTGCCTCGTACCCAGGCGTCTCTTTGTAAAAAAACAGTGATGCTCATATGACGTGTTTACATGAAGTATTGTAGTGGGGAGAGATGGCGAAGGGGGCAGAACTATTGTTATTTTCGTAATTGATACCGATCAAGATATTACGAAAGTCACCGAACTGTGGAATCGCATCAAAAATTTGTATATCGACCACTCCCACACACGTCCACGACCGCGCCTACATAGTTTTGCATGTTTACAATTCTAATTTTAAACAGCCAATCGACGTTTAATTGTAATTGTTACCAAGAACCTGATTGGCTGTTCAAAATTAGAATTGTAAACATGCAAAACTATGTAGGCGCGGTCGTAGACGTTTGTGGGAGTGGTCGATACACGAATTTTTTATGCGATTCCACAGTTCGGTGACTTTCGTAATATCGAGTGCTGGCATACTTAACCAAAAAATAACTAATGTATTAATTGAGAATTAAGCGTTGAATTCTTTAATCTTTATCTGGAATCGGAAATCGCTTCGTCTTGAAGAATGAACAACGAATATCAATCCAACATTTGTTGCTTGATAGATGTGATACCGTGATAAAAGTGCAGATTTGAAGATACAGGCTCGTAAATGACACTCTAAGTAGTGTTTTTGATAGCGATTGGAACAAGACTATTAATACAAAGTTACGTCCGAAGGGGCCGAAGTTATGTTCGGCGAAAGGTATGGCTAGTCTATATTTTTGTTCAGACAATTGCGCAATTTGATAATACACGAACTCGCTTGACTTTCAAAGCTCATAAATCGCTATAATGTTGACATCGACTAAAACTATCGCTATGAATGAGGACATATTGTTACACTGAATCGAACGTGGTATTTTTGTCTTCATAGCATTGAATGAACCGAAGATATGAAACGTCAAAGCCGTATATTTGCACTGGTGCAAATATGTGAGTTTGACAAATAATTAAAATAAATACATTACGATGGGCGGGACCATGTGGTGGGCGGAACTCAGAATGTGTAGTTTTTGGGCAGGCGGTATTTCTAGCTTTACCGCCTGCTACGCAGGCTAACCCGGTAATTAGTCCCGTCAAATACATCCTAAAATGCGCCTTTTCGTCGATATTTGCCGCGAAAATCTTGCTTCAATCAATCTATTTTAACTAGGAAATTGTATAATCAAACACTCACTAAAGAATTTAGAGACTTTCTCCGCTTTTTCACACAATTCAAAGACTTTTCAAAGACCTTAAAGACCTGCATTCAAATTTAAAGACTTTCAAGAATTTCAAAGACCGCTACGAACCCTGTGGTGGAAAACGAGCTTAAAATGCGCTAATTAAAACTGCACGACAAAGCCGGCAATAGCCATGCAGATTTAGATCGCGGACGTCAAAGACGATGTGAAAAGGGCGTGTTGTGCCCATGTATGGATATGCCACGCCATTTTGACGCCATTTTCACGTCGTGTTTGACGTCCGCGTCCTCGATCTAAATCTGTCTAATATCAGATTTAGGATGCGCGCAATTAGATTGCGCGAATTACAATGTTGGTCCAACAATGTTCGATGCGAGTTTTGAATGAAACCTGAACCAACATCTTCCAGCATGAGTGAACAATATCAAAATAATTCATGCACCTTCCAAAACCCTTCAACACAATGTGGGAAGATAGTGAACTGGCCTGAAGATCAGACCAAGAAAACACATTTGCCTTTATACCAAGAAGATCGACGAACATTTTCAGTTTTTCACGCAAAGTTATGGGACATTATGAAGGAATCATTATATCATACTTCCTTATCTGTCATTTGAGATTGTGAAGTGTTGTTCAATCAGTTCAAATTTGGCGTAATATATACGGTAAAATTTCCCATTGTTATCTCCGGGATCCGATGAACATTAAACACTTTTTCCAGATCTGCTGTAGATTGGGCCAAAATGAGTTCTACGCGATATATCTCGTCAATCTCCTTCGAGCAAATGCGTGCCACTGAGTCAAGTCAGCTTTAATTTTCATCTTCACCATCACTGACGTGTTCTCTGATCCATCTTTCCAATACAGTTCGTGCAAATGAAACGTCGCCCGTATAAAAGCCGCTGGATTTTCGTCGCTTTGTCTTTAACGCAGATACATCATCTCGATGTTCGGATGCGCATGCAGATACACTTGGTGTCTGTGAGGTGGGAACTTTTTTCTGGATAACCTGTGGGTCATCCGCGTTTTCGGGTGTTTCCATAAGCAGCGCGGATTTTTGGTGTTCTACTTGGCGATTGCAGCCCAATATAGAAGATCGCTTTCGTGCGCTGGCAACTTGGTTGCAAAGGCTATCAAAAACCTTCCGATACGTTTCTTCAAATTCACTAACCTGTGATTCACTTGCCTCTTTGGTGGTTGAAACTTTGTTCTGGGTAATATCCTCTTTTTCACTGATGTGTGTTTTTGCAATGTTTACGTGATTCGGGTGTTCTTCTTGAAGATCGCAATCGGACATTTGTGATTCACTTTGCGTTTTCCTACGCTTTGCATGCGGTTGTTGTGTTTCGTTATCGACAGTCTCAAGATTATCCGAGTTTCCATCGATGTCTATCTCCGTATGCTTCATTCGCTTTGGGTATGCTACTTGGCCAGTACACTGAAACATTGGGGATGGCTTCTTTATGCCGGAAACGTCGTTATGAACAACTAGAAGCTCATCCACATCCTCATGTGAGGGTGTTTCAACACGAATCACTTGCTTGCTTGACTCTTCCTGACAATCACATTCACATACTTGCGATCCACTTGGTTCTTGTTCGGTGGAAACCTGCGTTTTCTTACGCTTTGCACGCGGTTCTTGTATTTCGTCACTAGCCTCAGCATTGTCCGCATTTTCATCGCTCGCCATCTCCGTACGCTTTATTCGCTTTGGGTATGCTATTTGGCCACTACACTGAAACGTTGGAAATCCTACTTTTTCTACCGTACTTATTTCTACTGTATTCAAAGCTCTGTTATGGCGTATCTTTCGTGCACCAGTTGCTCTTTTATCCATCCTTGTTTTCACACGTTTAGTTAGCCGCTGATGGTCTTCTAACTCTATATTCAAATCACACTCGCAAAGTTTATATTCGCTCAGTTTCTGCGTGAAGGTAACATTGTTACGTGTTATTTTTTCAATGTGGGTTTGAGACTCGCTTGATATTGATTTTATGGGGACTTTACTAGGGGTTCCCTTTATTGGTTCATCCACTTTTTCTTGGATGGACGTTCTCTCACGTTTCACTAACTTTGTAAAACAATTAGAGATTTTAGAACTACTTAGTCTCTGTGGGTTGTTATGGGCTATTTCTTTTATACGTGTTCCTGCACGACCAGAAACCTTAGGACACTCTTCTTCACGATACCCTTCTAGTGACTGCGGTGTCACTTCTTGCGACTGTGGTTTATTAGGCTTATCTAATTCCTGCCTGCTAGAATCCTCCAGTTTGTTGGTAAGTTTGTTGAAGTTATACCTCTCACCATCGCCTTCTGCTACAGTACTGAGCGTTTCTTCGTTATTGGATAACTTGGCATACTCTTCTTTACGAACAGGTTCACAAATTTGTGGCTCGTTTAGTTCTTGTGGACTACGAACAGGTTCACAAATTTGTGGCTCGTTTAGTTCTTGTGGACTATGAACATTATTTATGGTAACCTGTACAGCATCGTCTACTTCAATACGTACGTATGTTCCCGTGTCGTTCATTATGTTGAGACACACTTCGTTCTCGTCAGAATCGTTAGGTTGAGATTCACTAACTTCTTGTGCACTCGAATCTCTATTTGGCGTACTCTGTTTTCCATCTGTTCCTGCAATATTTATTGATGTTCCCGGATTGTTCAATGCTTTAAGGTACTCTCCCTTCTCAACAGACTCAACCTGAGACTCCTCATCATTTGCTTCTGAAACAGTAATGGACGATTCCGTGTCGTTTAATACCTTAAGATCATCTTGGTTTCGAGTAGACTTGTGATTTTGAGGTTCATCAACTTCTTGTGCGCCGGAAATTTTGTTTAAGCTACTTTGTTTACCATTTGCTTGCGCCACAGTAGCGAGTCTTTCCACGTTGTCCAGTATCTTGGGGTATTTATTATTCCCAGTTGGAGAACTCAAATTGGAAGACACTAGATCGGCCTTGTGCAGATCTAAATTCTGAAAGATAAGATCGAACTGATTTAAACATGCTATATATTGTCGTTGATAAACCATAGTTAATACAATATAGCAAGCTATCTCATGTTTTTAATTTGTTTACACACGTAAAAACAGGAACGTTTTGTCAAACAGGTTTTGACAAATCTGCAAACAAGTTGTAACAAGGTTGATATCAAGCCGATATCAGGACGTATTTGCACTGCTTGTTTCCAGTTGTTGTTGTTGTTGTTTCCTTGATACAAGGTTGATGACGGTAACAGACTTCCTACAAGTTATTCCAACAAGACTGATACAGGATGATCGTAACAAGTTGCTACGAGCTTGTTGTCATCAATTTGGTACGTGCAGACGATAGCAGACCTGTTGGAACAAAATGTTGCAAATATGTTGGCCTTATCAACTTTGTCACAAGATGATAACAGCTTGTTCCAGACTTGTCAACATCTGATCGTAACAAGTTGCTACGAGCTTGTTGTCATCAACTTATTACGTGCAGACGATATCAGATTTGTTGGAACAAATTGTTGCAAATCTGTTGGCCTTATCAACCTTGTCACAGGATGATAACAAGTTGTTCCAGACTTATTAACATCTGGAAACAAGCAGTGTGAACACATCCGGTTGACAAACTGAGAGATCCTTACGTCTGTAGGCATGCATTTAATACTGTTTGAACAGCTTGTTATCAGGATGTGGTCGCACTGCTGTTCTCAGTTTGTCGACAAGTTGTCAATGGGCTTGTTGACAACTGGCTACTAGGTTGTTGATTCAATAGACTTGATATACTTGTACACAACTTGTTAGTAGTTGACAAGTTGTTAGTAACAAGCGTGTGGCATCTTCATAGAATAACAGTATTGTGCCAACGTGTTGACAAGCTTGCTACAAGTTTGTTGCAAACACAAAGAGATTTTACGTGTGTAGCCAATAGCAATGTTTTGGTTAATTAGCCATCTGTGACTAGAACAATTGGTTATATTTTAAAGATTGGTTGATTTAGCAAAAATACGCACGTGACAAACAAATGCTAAAGAAAAATGAAGAGAAATTTTCCAACATGATTTCTAACAGTGCCGAAGTCAATTGTAAAAGGTGACTCGTACGGGCTACAAAACCAACCTCAGAGAAACAATTTACGAAATGTACAATCGAAAGCATGGGTTCAAATCCCGGTACAAACTTAATTAAGACTCAAGGTGTACATAAAGGACAGTTTTTAAAAGGTATTAATTCAGTATAAACCTGACACTACAAGATGAGTCAGAACATGAAGGTGTGCAACTGAATACACAAACAAATACATATACAATTGACTTCAAAACACGGTTTTGAATACCTTAGAAAACTTGCTGCTCATATGATACCAGAAAAATGTACGTACGCATGCAGATAGCGTGTACTGCGTACTTAGGTGGTACTTGGCTGAAACAAATACACGTAAGTACCAGATCGTAATAGAGAATTTAAGCTTCGCGTTATACGGCAAACGCCAGGCAAAGAAAAATTTTACGGTCAGGGCCGTAGCTAGCATGTACAGTTGGGGGGGGGGGGGGGGGG